TAATTTAGCTCTGGCTGCGGGCAAGGATGAAGGCCTTTGCTTTCACTAGTACTGAGCAGTAGCATTGTATCATTGTGCTTCATGAAAAGAGTTACTCCTGTAGAGAAATAGCAAGAGGATGAAATGTCATCACACCACAGTGAGCAGAGTGGTTGAAAAATACCAAATAACTGGTTCAATTGATGACAGGCTCTGCTCTGGAAGACCAAGGAAGTCGACAAAATGGCAAGATCGGGCTTTGCAACGCATTTTGATGGCTGACAGGAAGCTCACCTCACCTCAGATTACAAGAATTTGGGGTGAAACATGTGATGTAAAAGTGTGCACAAACACAGTATGTCACAGACTGCTTGCCAAAGGGCTCAAAGGCTGCAGGGCTCGAAGTAAACCTTTGCTCACGTACGCTTACTGCTCTCGTCAATGTGTGTGGGCCAAGAAGCATGCCAAGTGGACCAACGAACAGTGGGCCAAGGTCATCTTCAGTGATGAGAGCAATTTTTACTTGACTGGGAATCAGTGTAATAAGTATGTCAGAAGATTTCCAGGACTTCAACATACTGCTTGGAATTCATGATTCCCTGCACAATTTGTATCCAACCAATACCAGAAGCAGAGATACAGCCCCAGATCATCATGTGCAATGGATGCTTCACAGATAGATTCAGGCAGTATGGCCTAAATTCTTCAGCTGGAAATCTCTTGATATACTTATTGCACTGATTCCAAGTCAAGTAGAAATTGCTCTCATCACTGAAGATGACCTTGGCCCACTGTTCGTTGGTCCACTTGGCATATGTCTTGGCCCACGGATATCCATAAGAGAGGTGAGCGTCTGTAAGCCAAGTTTACTTCAAGCCCTGCAGCCTTTGAGCCCTCTGGCAAGCAGTCTATGACACACTGTGCTTGTGCACACTTTTACATCACATGTTTCACCCCAAATTCTTGTAATCTGAGGTGAGGTAAGCTTCCTGTCAGCCATCAAAATGTGTTGCAGAGCCCAATCTTGCCGTTTTGTTGACTTTCTTGGTCTTCCAGAGCAGAGCCTGTCATCAACTGAACCAGTTATTTGGTATTTTATTTGGTATACTCTGCTCACTGGGGAGTGATGGCATTTTACTCTCTTGGATATTTCTGTACAGGAGTAACCCTCTTCATGAAGCACAATGATGCGATGCTGCTGCTCAGTACTGGTGAAAGCAAAGACCTTCATCCTTGCCCACAGCCAGAGCTAAATTAAATTTCTCTATGCTTTTCATGACTATTTATAGTCAGAGTATGACAACATTGATTGGCTCATAGATTTAGCCTCTCTGCATTTTGATTGGTCAGCCAAAGCTCGCTACTGATTGGCTACTTTCGATCCTAACATTCTCAAAAATTCAAGTTGTGTTTGTTTTAGCACATAAGCTCACTCAAAATCTTAAAAAGACTTTGATTATATTAATAAAAAATATGCATCTCAATCCGACTACAGAAATTTTCATCAAAGTACTAATTTTGTATGGTTTCTATGAGTTAAAAGTTGATTAAATGGATGTTCTTACCTGATACGCCCATTCTCTGGACAGTGGAGATTAGCAGCCAGGATGGGTTGTCTCTGTGCATTGACCAATTGGACTGAGTCTACAGCTGCAACATCACTGATATCACTGGTGACTCCGCCCAGCTTTAACAAAGGTAGATCTGTAGACCGACGCATGGTGTTAATCACAAGAATCGATAACACATTCACACTCTCCTCCAGAATGCCCTGAGCTATTTCTAAGTCCAGATCAGAAAAAAGAGTCCCAAAAAGAAGTCAGCTAAGGGGTGGGGCTGGCTGCTGTCTCCTCCATCCGGAGAATGGACGTATCAGGTAAAAGCTAACACCCATTCTCCCCAGTTGGTGGAGACAGCAGCCAGGATGGGACATACCAAAGCTCGTCCATAATGTTAAGGGTGGGTAGATGACTGGCCTGAGGCCGATTGTCTAGACCTGACTTGTTGGAGTACCCTCCTACCAAAAGTGGCATCTGCTGGTGCAAATCTGTCTAGTCTATAATGGTTTACAAACAGAGATTGTGAAGACCACATAGCCACCTTGCAGATTTCCTTGATGGAAGCTTGGATAGACCACGCTGCCGAGGTAGCGGCACTGCGTGTTTAGTGCCCTGTCATGTGTGGAGGGAGAGGCAGTCCGAGAGCTCCATATGCTTTCAAGATGCAGGACCTGATCCAAAGTCTGACAGACCTGGAAGAGACTTTGGCACCCATGTTAGTTTGATGAAAAGAAACAAACAAGACCTCCGAGCACCGGAAGGAAGCAGATCTCAAGATGTAGATGCAGAGTGTGCGGCACACGTCCAGCTTGTGCCATTTGTGCTCAAGTCTATGTGCAGGGGAAGAACAAAAATTAGGGAGGACTATCTTCTGGGCTCTGTAAAATCTACTATTGACCTTTGGGATAAAAGCCAGGTCAAGGCGGAGCACCATCTTGTCCTCATGAAAAA